CACCAGGGTCGTTCACCTAGGAAGGATAACGCTCTGTTGACTGCTCATCGACAAGAACGCTCTCAAAAGCGTCTTCTTGACCACCCAACTCTTGCCGGGCCAAATGATACACGTCGATCGGACTCAGCATACAGCTATCCTTTCGCCGCATTCCAAAGAAAACCTCATCCTTCCAGCCGAAAATCAGCTACGGGACTGGGCCGAGCTCTCTCCAAAAAGGCTAGCTCGAATTCCTTCCCCTACGCAGCCAGAAATCAACCTACCTGGGCCGACCACACCGAAGGATAACCAGCCAATAACTGCTAATCCAGAGACCCGCTCCTCTCCTCCTAGTCCTATCCAAGAACCTTCAACATCTCCCAACAGAGAACACAGCAGCTCCTCGCTGTCTCCTATACCCGACACTACACATAGTTCTCCTACTCCTGCCACCACGAATTCCTTACCCAATACCGAAGCTGCTTCGGCAGAGCAGGCAACAGACGACAAGGAGTCTCGTCAGTCTACTCCTCTGAGTGAACTCTCGCCTCCGCCAGATGATGACGACCCTCCGTCGGACGAGAAAAAAGATGTGGAAAATTCTGTGGATGAGGCGGTAGCGAAGAAGGAACAGGACGTCGAAAACAAACCACTGGAAAAACCTTCTTCTTCAACGAATCCTTATCCTTCGCATTCATTTAACTCCGCCCCTTCACCGTCTGCTTCACCGAACCATCCCTCTTCATATCCTTCTGGCAAAGATCCAAAAGTTTCCACTATCTTGGAGTTGAATGCTGAGCTGTTCAAGTACGTTTCGGTGTTGATTGAATGGTAGAGCTATGATGGCTGATCGTTTCTTCACTTATATAGAATTTTACTGGAACTCCAAGCACGTGGAGTAAACAGCTCAGATATGCGATTTCAATCGTAAGTTCTAATCAACCCCCTTCTGTTGATCCCCAAGTCAATCTCATGTCGTCAGATTTGCAACCCGATTACAGAGCAATCTCAATTTCCTCGCCACTGCGGCTGACAGACCGGTATGTATCAAGTCAATCTACTGCAACATTGTTTGCTGATATCCTGAGTCAGAGCACGCAACCAATGACTTATCCCATGATGGAGGCTCCGCCAACCATCGATCTCATTTCTACGGATCGAATACAGCAGCTTTACGCTGAACTGGTCGCCGTTTTCCCAAAATCCAGAAGACCATCACTCGGCGCTAATCCGCCCAACAACTACCCCAGCAATCATCTCAAGCGCGAACGACCAGACGAAGTTCCACTTGACATGATGAACCATAAACGGCGTGACACGGGTGAAGGCAAATCCAACAACAACGGGATGATGTTGCCCCCGCCGTCGTTGCCATTGCAGGAGCAACTCTCCAATGGTCTTTCTGCTTCCCCCTCCCCTTCGATTGGCAGTGGTTCTTCACCCATGACGCCTCAGACTTCCGCGATACCCGGCATGATTTCACCCGTTCCAGGTCCTGGTTCGGGTAGTACCGTCTCTTTATCTGATGGGGGTATGTCGGAGGCCCAGCTGGCACAAGGCGCACGCGATCCAAGGATGGCGAACATGCGAATGTCGCAACAGCAGCGACCAGGTGGGTTGCCTGGGATGCCTTCAACTCCTCAACCTCAACAAGGTCGTCATATGTCTCCGCCTTCCTCTTCTGGTGGTCCATCATCCAACGTGCAAATATCACCTACGTCTTCAAATCACGGTCCTTCGAATATGATGCCTGGGGGTGGGGGCGGATTGAGTACCGTCCAGCAAATGCAACAACAGGCCTACTCACTTCTTCAAAGTCAGCCACCGCATCCGATCCTGCAGTATATGCATCGTATGGTACCCAATTTCGGCACCCTCTCGTTCCAAGATCAAGCAAAGCGTATTTTTCAGGTGCATTTTCTCCTTTACTTGTTCCAATCCGATAACTCATGAAAATCATCATAGGTGCTCCAAATGCGACAGCAGCAACAGCAACAGCAACATTCGCAGCAATCAGTACAACATCAACAGCAGATGGGCGCGAACAGTATGCCCAACGGCGCATTCGGTAACCACTCGAGTCCTATCTCACCTGTCAGCCAACAAGCACAGATGAATTCGATGATGGCCCAAGGCATGAACGCCGGTTCTAGCAGCATGGTTGGCGGTGTTGGAGGAGCCGGAAGTAGTGGCGGACTGGGAGGAATCGGTGGAGGCAGTAACAACATAGGGAACATGGGCTCCATGAACCTGAGCCAAATGACACCTAACCAAAGACAGCAACTCATGCTGATGCATCAACAACGGAGCGGTATGGGAGTAGGAGGCATGAACCCTATGAACCCTATGAATAACATGAATAATATCAACGGAATGTCTTCTCAACAGTACGCTATGATGCAGCAACAACGCCAGCAGCAGGCTCAGCAGAGCATGACCCAAGGCGTCACCTCTCCCACACAGCAACCTGCTCTCGGTGGAGGAAATGGCTCGCCGATGATTCCTGGGAACGATTTCCCTGCTCTTCGATCTAATGCCGCTATTCCAGGCATTGCGAGAAGCGCACGATCACCGCCGGACGGCGGCATGGGTGGTGGTGGTGGTATGGGTATGGGTGGTGTGCCTGGATCTGGAAATCAGTCACCCATGACTCCTCGGATGCCCACGAGAGGGGCCTCGTTGGGTCAGGATGATTTTACGCGCATGATGAACGGTGGCGGTGGGCCGTCGTCTAGAGGTGGTATGATGCCGGGACCAGGCTCCAATAACTTTAGTTCACAGCAAATGCAAAACTGGCAACAACAGATGGGGAGTGGCATGGGTGGCGGTATGGGTGGTCCCCATTCTGCGAATGTCCACGGCGGCGGATACGGTGGGAGTGGAGGAAGCATGGGAGCCCCATCGCCTCCTGGAAGCGCAGGGAGCGGATTCGGGTCTGGTGCAAGTGGTGGTATGGGTTCTTCTTCTTATCCGTTCCCCACGCCTTCACCAGGGTCAGGCCATTCAGGCGACTTGTCATCTTCCAATCTAGGTTTAGGCATGGGCATGCCCCGACATATGTCCGCCACACCTGGTTCTGGACAACAGATGCGAAATCCGAATCTCAGCATGAATGGCATGAACGGGATGAACAATATGAACAACATGAACAACATGATGGGCATGGGAATGGGCATGAACATGAATAGTTCCATGAGTGCGGACCCGTTTTCTTTCATGTCGAATGACATTGACCCTTTCACCTGGACTCAATGAGATCTTTATTATAGGTTCCTAGCGTTTTTGCTTTGCTTGCTCTCGATTGCTGCTGTTCTGCTCGATGTACTTATCTGTCGCTCTTTCTTCTTTCAACGCTTCCCTTTGGTCTTCACAAACTACGTTATCACCATCTTGGTTGTTCGCTCGTCTTCATTCTATCCTTTCTATTGTCCGCTACCAATTTCACGAATGTGTTTGTAAGACTTTATACAGACAGCCTATGTCGGCTGGCTTGTGGCGGCTCCAACATTCAACAAATCTAATTGTTTGATAAACTGCCTTCTCTCTCATTGCAAGTGGACGATGACAAACGAAAAAACTGCCGGAATTAGTCTGGATTAAGTTGTAAGTTGATAATTCCATGCGACTGTAGAATATACTCAGTCTCTCCTCAAGGCTGAGTAACATTTCCCTTCTCTTCTGGGTCCACTGATAGAGCAGGCTCATAGTATGCATGTACTTGCCAATATCGATCGTAATTTGCATCGGAATGACTGCAACCTCAGCTACTCCACTATCCAGATGCGTCAATTTCACCGTCGCATCCCGAAAGTTTGGATACTTGTGCCATGCCAGTGAAGGTGCATCGAACGTTCATCTTCATCCCACCGAATCTAAACAGTGAACACTCCGTGATAAGAGTTTGCTTGGTTTCCTGATGATAGGCATCGGTCCCATATCCGGATGGATTACCAAATACAGCGGCGATCATTTTGTACTTGCCGGCACCGTTGGCGAACAACGTTGATGAACAACAAATTACAATGGTCTTCTCTAATCTCTCCCATCATGAAAAGGACGCTTTCTTCTCTCTTCTAGACGAGTACGCTCTTTGCAAAGCCCTTATCCAGCGCTGGATCAAGCTCTGTACTTCATAGATATTTCCAGTCTCGCCCCGAGCTTGCAGCCAAACTCCAAGGTGGATCTAGTGATGATAATGGGAGTATCAGTGCCAGCCAAGTAGCTGGTCGTGTAGCGGCTGCAGCTTCAGCCTTCAACAATGCCCCTCCACCAAGTCGCCACGCTCTACCAAGAAATCTCGAGCCTCCGAGTGGACTTGTTTCGAAACAGGTGCTGTATCGAATTCGTAATCTAACCACCGTTCACAATCTAAATCCATCACTCCAACAGCGCCTCGGCGACGTCGACACTTCGTCAAAGAAGAGCATGCTCATCTCAGGCTTGTCACGGAAACAACCTACGGTCCATAACACGCCTATCGCACCAGCTGCTTTCGGTGCAAAGAAGAATAGCTTCGCGCCTCCGCCATTGCATAGTAGAGTACCCGAACCAGAGCCGGAACCCGAACCCGAACCAGAGGAGGCACAAGGTGAATGGGCTGAGGCTTTGTATGATTATGATTCGCAGGTAAGTCATGATCGGCTACTACTTGGTTATAGAATGATCACTGGAATGTTGATTGTGGCACGATGCAGGATCCTGCAGACCTTCAGATCCGCGCGAATCAACGAATACTGGTTACTGAACATTCATCGGACGATTGGTACGTGTGTCAAAATTCAATCGCGCTTGCACTGAGGTGTATTCAATCATGTCGTGCTGTTTGAAGGTGGAAAGGCGAAGTGGATGGCAAAAGTGGATTGTTTCCTGCTACTTATGTGAGGTTGCTGTAGATCTTTGGCTTTCACCTTGTGGTCTTTGGATCACGTACATATGTAGTAAACTGTTAAACAGATGCAACTCACTAAGTACCAGAAAGATCAAAGAAGATTCAAGAAACAAAAAAGCGTGTCCACTGGTCCCGACGCCAGCAGGGTTCGAACCTGCGCCCTCAAAGAGGAACAGATATTGAATCTAAGCAATATAAGCAATTCAAATCTGTCGCCGTAACCACTTGGCTATAGCGCCATTCCATAACTGATCGGTTGCGGACAGTATCGGCCGAGTTTCCAGTCTTGGGTCATAAAAGAGATATCAACGATAGTACTTATATTGGACGAAGAGGCAAGTGCTTTGAAGCATGGTACAAGAAACATAAGAGACGAAAGACCTGGTACTGGATCTATATCCTCAGGTGGTAGGGTAAGAGATAGTGGTCAATGAACTATTAGTAAGGAAAATGGAAAACAGCAATAGTTTGGAGAAAGAACGAACATATTTTTGAAGCTTTTTGGTTTTATCTGTGAAACGAAAAGATATGTACATAAGACGAAAAAAAGACACATGGAGAATCACAATCAAGAACTGCTGTAAAATCCCAACCTACCCTACTGACGGTAGAAGGATGTTGTGTGCCCTGAGGGCCGCTTCGAGAGCGTCTGCTTTTACCTTGAGCATCTCATTCTCCGTTTCCAAATCCTTGACGCGGGTCTCAAGGAACTGCTGATGCTCGAGCTTCCTCTTCCGACTTTTTCGTGCTGCGAGTGTATTCTGACGACGCTTCCACTCGATGATCTCCTTGTCAGTGGCATTGAGCGGCGGCTGCTCCTCCGCAGTATCGTCCCCTACTGGATAAGGGGACTGGGATTGGGCTTCCTCGTCGCCGAACGCCTGCGTCCTCGAGCGTTTGCGCTTCTGGGACTTGAGGAACGCGACAGGGATTTCCTTGCGAGAGGTCGCGGAAGGAGTTACGTACTTCCTCGCCTGGATAGGAGCATCGACAGGTACGAGGGAGTCCGGAGTGACGTTTTTCCGTGTCCCATTCGCATTGGCCCTGCTGCCCTTGCCCGCCTTGGCGGAAGGGGGTACAACAGTGGCAGCCGCGAAACTTTCGGAAGACACGGAAGTCAGAAGAGATTTCGGCGAAAGACTCGCAGCATCAGGAGAAGAAGATGGGAGTATAGGAATAGGTACCGAATCCGGTTCTAGATCCGGCTTTGATGAAAGCTCGAACGGCTGAGAAAGTACCTCTTGAGCCAGCTCTGGTGATTCAAGAAGCTGATACAAGGACAAAGAGCTGTCACTGAACAAGGGGACACGGCTGTATTCTGAGCCGTAGATCCCAAAGTCATCGGACAGGTCATTTAGGACCGGTGTGTCAAGGTCCGGAGTGAAAGGAGAGTTGTTGGCGGAGGACAAGATATCAAAGTCCTCACAAGGAGAGAGCGAAGGCGAGATGAGGAAGTCATTGAAGAGAGCGGATTTCTGAGATTGTGGTGAAACTGTAGTGGTTGCTCAGTCATTGGAGATCGAGCAATAGAGCGTAGAACAAATTCACCTGATACCGTCTCGACCACATTGGCGGGGTCGTTCGGGAACATCCCAGCACCCATCTGGGCAGCTAGGGAATCGGTCGTTGGTGATTTTGATGAGATCTCTCCCGTCATTATAATTTTGGTGGGCTTTTGGTGTATGTTTAAATATGGGCGATGAAGCGATAAATACTCGATAAGTAGTAGGAGAGCTGGGCTTGTTGTTTTCTGTGGTCGATTGGACGAAGGCCATGGTGGGCTAACGAGGGTCAGAGGATTCTGACGAGATGGTATCTAGGGCGACATGTTGAAAGGTTTGCGAGAGCTTGAAAGTGTACTTTCAAGTGATGTAGATGTCCATGGTGTATAGACAAGAGGGCGTTGTAGACGCAGGAGTTTTACAACTGAGCAGCCATTTTGTGAGTGAGTTGATGATGGTGGTAAGAGGGAAAGGTTTGGGGCAAAACGTTACGAGAGAAAATTTTTAATTTACACAGCTCTTGCCCGAAAATGATCCGACTCAATCCCGATGCCTATGGCCGATAACCGCGAAAATCTGATCATGAAGGTGCTCAAGCCTCAGAGCCTCAGCCATAGGCGTTCAGAGCAGTTAGGAACTCTAAGAGTGACTGAGAAAGCACCTAGTTCTACTGAGAAAGGATACAACGTAACGTCTAATGTAAAATACTCTCAATGCTAATCATACAAAACTGATTGGTTTTTTACTTCATCGCCTCCTCGATTTGTTTCCGCCAACGGTACTGGATATCAATCGCCTCTCTGAAAATTTTATATTTCGCTTCAATAAGTTTCTTCTCCCTTCCCGAGGTCGCAGGCTTCACAATGGATCCTGGAGGAGTCATTTCGACCTGTGGAAAAAAACATACCGAATGAGTGGGATTCAATAGGATTCGTTTTATGACTCGATTCAACATCACTCACCATGATACTCCAAAGTAATTCCCCTTCCTGTTCTTCACTCAGATTAGTCACACCTTTTTTCACTGCCTCAGCGGCCATTCGACCAAGCATTGCAGCGCCAAGAGGCACTGCAGCACCCTCGTCGTAAGGTAGCACGACGGGCATTCCGCAGGTGTCTGCGAACAGTTGCATCATTGGGATATTTTTGGCCTGGCTACCGCTCATGTAGATGGAGGTGATACTGTGGCCTTTGGCGTTCATCTCGTCAACGATGTGGCGAGTTTGAAGAGCGATCGCTTCGAGAGTGACGTTGTATTTGCGTGCGAGATCGTTGAGCCCATCGTCCTGTGTATCGACAGATCAACGACTAGCAGAGTGAAATGGTTGCTGACACCTACGAGGGCAAGTCCCACAAAAGAACCTCTCATTCGAGGATCGGCGATAGGCGACCGATTTCCTGGAGTCATTGTGAATACGGAGAAGAAGAATATCCGAGAATAATGTTCACCGTGTAGATCTGGATAAAAATGCATGTCCTTAGTGAGTTCAGTCAAGCTCTCGACGCCATTCTCTTTCTTCATTTTTTGTAAGAGATCCTGTAAAACTGAGCTGGTGCGTCAATCCTGAGGTCTAAATATAAAGGCGTTCTCTATATCACGTACCCGCGAATATATTCGACTTCTGCTCCTCAGCCATCTTCTGGAGACGAGGGTAAGCAGGATGAGTTTTGATCATGAAATCTATTAGCTGCCAGAAATCATTAAGCTAAGTCGACGTCAGAGTAATGAGAGGGTCGAAGTTATACCTGTCCAGTGGAAGATTGACCTCCTTCATTCATCCACCAACCCCGAAAGACTGGGTCCTTGCATGTACATGAGTGCATTATAACGAGAAAGTCGCGTTCACACCCAACCTTATACGGTCCCCATACTCCATTGACGAAAACGCCTTCGCGACTCTGTCAAACGTTGAAATTATCGCGTTATTGGAAGGAGGGAAAAGACGTACCTGTACGATATGGCACGTACTAGTACCTGCACAAGCGGCAAGACGGTGTCGAGATTCATCTATTGAAGGGATAGCCTCAGTGAGCTTTCCACCGTCTTTGTATCGTCCGGCAACAGTTCCAAGCCATCCCGCATACCTGCAAGCATATCAGCATAGTAAAAATCACTGTGCCTTCAGATCTTACGCGTCGATGACAGCACTGCCAACAGGTGTACCTTCAACAAGACCGAATTCCTCTGCAGCTTGTTTCGAGAGTCCGTTTCCTACCGGCTTGCCAGCAGTCAACACTTCGCCGTTTGCGGCTCCTAGCTGTTTATAATTGGTCTTCACGAGTTCCTCTAAACCGATCTTTTCGAAAAAATCGGCTTGCCAGCCGCTTTTTGGTACGAACGAACATTTGCACGTTACGGAGCAGCAGGACCTAGTACTATCCTTTGTAGCACGATAAGTTAAGAAATCTGGCAGATCGAAGAATTGACAACGAGAGAATAAGGAAGGGTTCATATGATTCTTGAGCCAAAGGGTTTTAGGTATCTCCATCTCGAGCTACGAAACACGGCCGGATGAGTACACAGAAACTAGGGATGGTGATAGAAAGGAACGCGTACTTACGCTCATCGTACCACCGACATAGTCCAGCACTACTGATCCCGTACTGTTGATCAGTTCTGCTTCCTTCTCTGCACGATGATCTGCCCACAAGATAACGTTGCGATCGCCATTTTGTCCCAACTTGTCGCCTTTCGTGACGATGACCGGGTCACCGTTGAAGTCAGAAACTGCGAGCGAGCAAGTAGCATCAAAGGAGATGCCTTTGACTGCAGAAGGCGGAATTTTTGACTCTGCAAGGCATTTCTTGATACAACTAGAGATAGAGTCCCAGATGTTGTTGGTGGATTGCTCGAAGATGCGGTGATCGTCGTGATCACGCCAAGTAGTGGTTTCTTTAGTGTGAGACGCGATGGTTGAGCCGTGGTCATCGACGAGAACAGCTCTGGCAGAGCCTGTGCCGACATCGACACCGATGTAGTAGCTCATGGCGTGGTGGAGTTTGTGTTTTTTTTTCCGCGGTCTGTGCTTTTATGTGAAGTCATCGTTCCGTGCCGAGTGCCGGTAACCCCTAACACTACGGCCAACCCTATATTATTCCAGCAAAATATATCAGGAAAGTGATAAGGATTATAGTTATTAATAATCAGTGTGTTTATATCGAGAAAAGGATTATCTTATCTACCTAATCCATATAAAGAACAAGGATATCATTATCAAGCTAATTTTCGGATGATACAACGAAGAAAAATGATTATCTGAACCATGCTCAAAAGACTTTGAGAATCTTGAGAATATTGTAATCAATTTCTGGAGATAAAAGCTTGGAAACAAATCATCTTTATCTATTTAAAAGACCCAAGAATTGTACAAAGAATTTCAGACATAAATGTTATTAAATTTCCTTATGTTTCTTTCACAACAAAGAACATCTTTTTCTTCTGAAAAATAAAATGGGTATTCAATGGGTGATTAGAGGGCACTCAATGGGTACTCATTGTATGCTCAATGGGTGCTCAATGGGTAATGACTGGGTGCTCAATGGGCAATGACTGGGTGCTCAATGGGTGCTCAATGGGTGCTCAATGGCCACTGATCAGGCAACTAGAGGGAATATCAAGTAAATGTCTACAGATTATTGAATATGTCACAACAGTCTCCTAAGCAGCATTTACTGAGCACCCATTGATCACTCATTGAGTACCCAGTCATTACCCATTGAGCACCCATTGAGCACCC